CACCTCAGCAGCTTATTAGTACAGACTGAGGAAGCAGGGTGGTCAAGGCCTGAGGCAGCGAGACGCTAGGAGGCACCTCGCTCCACCCTGAGTTTAGAGGCCAGATCAGCTCCCTTTCCTGGGTAAGGAGCCTGGCCAGCTGGTTAGTGGGAGTGTCAGAATAGCACGCACTGGCAAACTTATGATTCTTGGTACTGGATAAGACCAGTACCATCTGTATTAACAAAGGACCTACTCAGAGAAGTTAGATATGGACTCATGAGTCACTAAATTCCAAGTAAAGCCAATTACTATATTCAAGGATAGAGTCTATAGCAATAGATGATCCTTTCAGGACTGCAGCCCCCTGGATGCACCCCACTTTTAATACAACCCAGCATACAAAAACATCCAAGGGATGGCAATGGAAAGTAAAGCTGTTCCAGTAAACACAACAGAAAGCCCTTACTGAATGAAAGAAAAATTCAAGAACTTGGTCAGAAATTCCCCTGTGTTTCTTAAGACCTTAAAATTAAGAGAGAGAAGGAAAATATTTTAGGCTAGAAAGAAAATCCACAGGTATCTCTGATCTAGCCAATGGGTTCACTCTAGCAGTGCTTTACAAATAGCAGGTCACGACCCATTAGTGAATCATGAGATTTAAAAAAGAAATGAGAGACAAATACTAGAATGCATTGCATGTAGAGGTTTTTAAAAAATAATATTTGCAAATATGAGTGTATGATAGTTTGCAGTTATTGTAGTTATTGTGGCTCACATCAACAAAAAGTTTAAAATGTACTTCACAAAGGGTTAGCTCCTACAGTTCTGTCCCAGGGCAGTTACACTCATACTATTCAAACATTGCTTTGAGTATAAGTTCACACAGTCATTCTGTTTTTTAAGATAATTTATGTTTTCAAGATTAAATACTGAAGACCAGACTCCAGCTCAGCTTTAACTGCTAAATCACTCACTGAAATTAAAAAACCCCATAATATTCTACAAAGAAAAGACCACTGATGGGTATTTACTGGGCTAGTATTAAAGGTCTTATTTTGAAAATTTTTTAACAAGGTTTTGTTTTTAATATGTCCTTATCGAATTTTTTTTTTTTTTTTACAGAGGAAGGGAGAGGGAGAGAGAGAGAAACATCGATGTGAGAGAGAAACATTGATCGGTTGCTTCCTGTATGCATCACAACCAGGGATTGAACCTGCAACCTGGCCATGTGCCCTGATGGGGAATTGAACCTGCAACCTTTCAGTGCTTGGGGACAACGCTCAACTAACTGAGCCATACCAGCCAGGGCTGGATTTTGTTTTTATTTACTTACTTATTTTTAATAATCTTATTAATATTAAATATAATTTAAATTTGTACTTATGGAATTGAATTGTTGGAATAACATAACACAATCTGAAGTATCTTTAAAATTCTGATAGGGACCATTAAAGCCTTATTTTCACTTTATCATGACTATTATTAAAAAAACAAAACACTGCAGATACTGAAATAAGATCACTGCCTGAACTTTACTTGAATTTATGATAAAAGTAGATATTCCTGAGGATGTTCTAGGCCAAGTTTGGTACATTTTAAAATATCATTCAACTTTTCAAAAGCCTAAATGACCTAAAAAGAAGCTCTGCATTAACCCTATATTCTGTATTCTTAGAAAACCAAATAGCTATGAAAGGTAATTAAATCTGATTCTTCTCACATCTTCTGCTATGCCTCATGTCAACATACTAAGAGAACATAAATATCTACCTTAAGCAGCATTCATACTTGTCTGGGACAAAACAAGATTGAAAAGAGGAGTAACAGTAGCCAGCATGGCTCAGTGTTTGAGCATCCACCCATGAACCAGGAGGTCACAGTTGGATTCCCTGTCAGGACACATGCCCGGGTTGTGTGTTCGATCCCCAGTAGGGGGCGTACAGGAGGCAGCTGATCAATGACTTTCATCATTGATGTTTCTATCTCCCTCTCCCTTCCTCTCTCTGAAGTGAATAAAAACATATTAAAAAACAAAGAGGTGTAATAGTAAAATATACTTTTTATTAAATCTAATTCTAGAAATGATATGTATTAAGTTAAAAAAGTATAAACATTAAAATAACTAACATTTTTAACTCACACTTTCTAGACAAGGCTGTGGTAAAAGGTGTAACTTGTGAACTTGAGTTGGAGTACTATAATATCTGCAAATAAAATGGGCACCATGTGCTATCTGTATACATTTTTTTTTAAACTCACACTTTTAACGTAATTCACCTCTTTTCTTAATGATAAGGGAAGGCATTACAATAAACAATTAGACTTTCTCAACCTACTTCTTATAGTATGCTTAGTGTAAATTAATAATATAGCTATTGATCTGCTACTGGTTGAACAACTTAACTTCTTAGACGCTATTTATGACTATCCATGGTCTTCGCTGGAGAGGTAAAATCCTATAGAACTGTTGTGAAAACTGACACCTATAAGGGCCTATCTAAAATTAGAGTAATTTATTTTCTCTTATTTTTAGATATTAAAATCCTTCCATCTCCAGTATCTGTCTTTTAGCTATTTTACTAAGCACAATGTCTGGCATATAATAGCTGTTCTACCAATAACTGTTGAATGAAAGAAAATTATAGTTTCCCTCAGAAAATGACTGACAAAGGAACCAAAATTCTCAGTTCCTTTTACTTACCACACACTGTGTGGGCATGCTAGTCCAGCTCTGTCAAGGGATGGTGAACCAAGGCTGGAGAGGGAGGTAAGGACCGGGGAGACAGAGTCTTGTAAACTCTAAGGACTTTGACTGATAGCTGTAATGGGGAACTAAGAAGGGTGTTAAGCAAGCAACTGATATGGTCAGAATTGTGGTGGTTTAGGAGGTCATTCTGCATCTTGTGTAGAAAACGGGATGGATGGATGGATGGATGGATGGATGGATGGATGGATGGATGGATGGATGGATGGATGGATGGATGAGACAGAGAGAGACACTGTTAGGGGGCTATCGAGACCCAAATAAGAGGAGATGGTGGTCTAAACCAGGATAGTGGCAGAAGAAATGGTGAAGAGAGATTCCATGGAGGTTTGGAAGGCAGAACTGAAAAGTTTCTAGCAGGGATGCAGGGCAGGGTAGTCACACATCACAGAAGGAGAAAATTTAGCAAGAAAGGGCCAGTTCAATTTTGGACATGTTAGATTTGAAGCTCTCCTTATAGAAGAGTCCAGCAGAAGTATGCTAGCGGCAATTTTAAATATAGGTCCGAAAGATTAGGATTGAAATCTATCTTTTTGAATTCTAATCCAGATCAGTATTTTATGTTCTATAAGTTATGTTACATATATTAAAAACTCAAAGTAAAAGGTTGAATACAGCTTAGATCAAGGGCTTATGCTCTCTTGATTTTCTTAGAAAACCAAATCGCGCCCGGCCGGGCGTGGCTCAGCGGTTGAGCATCGACCTGGGATCCAGGCGATCGGGGTTCGATTCCTGGTCAGGGCACATGCCCAGGTTGCGGGCTCAATCAATGACTCTCTCATCATTGATGTTTCTGTCTCTCTCTCCCTCTCCTTTCCTCTCTCTGAAATCAATAAAGATATATTAAAAAAAAAAAAAGAAAACCAAATCGCTGTAAAATATATTTAAATTTTCTTCTGATATTTAAATACTCTGTTAATGTTATTTTTGGCACTAAAGTTGACTGGATTAGGGAGAATAAACATAGCATTTGTTGACTTCTCTGAGTGAAGTACGTTTAGAAGACTGCTCCTATTGATTTTTGCGTAAGGAAAAGTAATTTAAATATCTCAGCCTTCATAATCCATGCAACAGTAAATCCTAAACTTCAAGTCCCCTTTTCATATTTATGAAAGGAGGGCATTTAAGGGGACAGTTGATGAGTCTGCTTATAGTAGTAGCCGAGAGAGTGGACTCTTGCATCAGACTCTGGACCTTGTGTCCTATTAATAATATGATCTTGACCAAATTATCTCATCTCTTTGGACTCAGTTGCCTCATCTGTAAAATAGGAGTGATAATAGTAAACCTCTTGGGTTTATGAGAATAAATTATGTAAACACATAAGAGCAGCATGTGGCATACTGTGTGTATTCAATATCTAATATTATTACATAATTCTGTTAAAGACAATGTTTTCAACCACTATGGAAAACAGTCTGGCAATTCCTCAAAAAATTAAGAATAGAGCTACCATATGATCCAGCAATCCCTCTCCTGGGTATATACCCAAGAAACTCAAAAACATGTAATTTGTAAAGTTATATGCACCCCTATGTTCACTGCAGCATTATTCAGGGGGGCCAAGACATGGAAACAACCAAAGTGTCCTGCGATAGAGGACTGGATCTTTAAAGAAGGTGTGGTACACGGACACAATGGAATACTACTCATCCATAAGAAAAGATGAAATCCTGCCATTTGAAACAACATGGATGGACCTTGAGAATATTATGCTAAGTGAAATAAGTCAGTAAGAAAAAGCTAAGAACCATATGATTTCACTCATATGTAGGATACAAAACTGAAACTTGTGGACACAAACAGCAGTGTGGTGGTTGCCAGAGGGAAGGGATTGGAGGGTGAAGGGGGTCTTAATATATGGCGATGGGAGAATATATGACTTTGGGTGGTGGGCACACAAAGCAATATACAGATCTTATAACACAGAAACCCACACCTGAAACCTATACGTTCATATTAACCATTGTTACCCAATAAATTTAATTAAAAAAAATAAAGACAATGTTTTCTTTTTCCTAAACTCAACATCACTATTGATTAAAAATCTTGGAAGTCATTATTACAGATCAGGTCTTCTATCAGAAACAGGGTTTCATATGTACGATATAACATCTAATGCCAACTCTCTCTGAGAACTCTTGGGGACCTGTGATGTCTCTAAAGAGTGGAGTCTTACTAAGCAAGTGAGGAACAATAAGGAAGACTCTCAGGAAGAGCATTTCCAGGTGTCGAGGGATTAGGGCCAGAGTAGCAGAATTAATATCTGAAGTTTACTGAAATAACAGTTCTATAGTCCAAACAGGCATGTTGCCATAAAAAATATAAAGAGATAAGAAGGTTTAAAATAATAAAAAGAAAAGTGCAAATCCAATTTAAATAGAGTGATTTATCCTCATTTTCACAAAATGAAAGCTGGTTAATCAGGACAAACACATTTTACTAAAGGGACCAAACAGGGCCAATAAAGCAGTAATATGTGTGTACAGTAAACAACCTCACAAATATGAAAGACCATATTTCCTTTTCACCAAAGAGACCATTCTGCTCCCTGAAAGATTAGTTTATGAGTATGCTTAAAATAAAACAAGAGCTTAGCATATCATGAGTGTATACACAAGCTTTTAAATTGGCGGTTAACATTTGTGAAAGCAATGGTTTAACAACAGTTATAAAAGATGTATCACTTAAAGTAAAACTTAGTGTTATACCTGATTATAAACTACACCCAGTCCATATAAGTTGAATGCATACCATACTTTAATAATCAAGACAGTTGGCTGCTTTTCTGGAGTATATTTCAAACAGAATTAGCATATAACCCGTATATAACAATATTGCTGTTTTTAGTCATTTTACACGTAAGGGTCCAAAATATATTATGTTCAGAAAATAACACTGTCTGTGAATGTCAACAGCTTTTTATTTATATTCCTTCAAAAACACTCTACCCTGGTCATACACACTAATCTACACAACTGAAAATAAGCAAAGATGATAGGTAATTCAGAGAGTCTCACCTCCATGTAGAAGTTCTAATTGCCCTAGAAACCTGTAGGTCAAGTTCTCATCCTTTGAAAATGAGAAAAATGTTCCAGAGCAGTGACTGTAGCCATGTAGTTGGGCTTTGTATTTATAGCATTGGATCTGAGACCTAAATGTGGCCATAGATGTCACAGTAAGCTAAGTCCCATATCAAAAATAAAATGCAAAAGGAATTGAGAGACTTTGTAATTTCAATGGCACAGACTTCGAAAACTGAACGCTTAGACATAACTCCTACATCTCTCTTTAAGAGGTCATTGCCATGCTTATAGGTTTGAGGCAGTAATCTATATATTAGTGTGTGATTAATCAGAGTTCACTTAGTACCATGAACTTGGGTCCTTATGCCACAGCATTAATTTTGCCTTTCCCCCAAAGAATCATTTGCTCTTGAAGTAATAGGCTCTTAAGGCACATTTTAACAAAAAACCCATCATATACCCAGCTCAAAAATGGGAGCTCCACCTGGTTACAATAATATACATATATACCTATGTAACGTATGATTTATCAGATAGACAAATGTTTCTATCTTGAGGATAAAATCACATTAGAAAAGCAATTCTTTATTTGTTTACTCAAAAAGAAACATTGTGTAAAAATATTAGAGAATTAGGTTTATAATAACAACCCACCTGTACCAGGTCTGTTGGCAAAGGTTCAACAGGGTATAGGTCTGGAAATTAGAGAAAAGACTTCCCTGGAACCCTGGGTTCCTACTTACCCAGGTTTCTGAGCAAAAATGATAAGGAAGGGAGTTAGGGCTCCTTCATGATTTTTAGAAGTTTTCTTCCAAAATGCACAGCTTCTTGGGAGAGTTCAAACCTTAAACCCCAATCAGCTACCATTTTGAACTGCAGTTACCAGCCTCAAAGGAATAGGACTTGAGGAAAGGAAGGAGAGGGGATAGAAAGGAGCCACAGATAGAAGTGGGATAATTTCAAGGACAAGTTGCTTTAGGAACTTGATACATTTTGCTAGGAGCAGCTTTGATATCCCTATGAGCCTCTGCTAAAAGAAAAAAATATTATTTTCTAATACCCACAAACATGCCTTAGGCACTGACCCTTGGGATGGACCTAGAATTATCTACTTGGAATGATTTGGGATGGGGGTAGATTTAGGAGTCTCTTAACTTACTATTAGTCTAAAGTAAACATAAGTGAAAGAATTCCATAGAAACAAATACATAGCTAACTGTAACACCTCCTCTGGCCATCACCTTCCCACTGACTTTGGGGTGTTTTCAGCTGTGCAGAGCAGGCTGCTGGTAAGCTGAGCTCTAGTTCAATCATAAGGTGGGAACAGGCAGAGTCTACAAGGCACACTGTCACTCAGAGGTAACAAGTGTGCCCAACAGGATTCAGCTCTATGGTAGAGATCTGAGACATTTTCTGTGATCATGGAGCAATAAAAATAGCTGGTCCTAAATAAACATTTCAAATGTTGCACAGGCCCATTTCGCAAGGGCCAAACATACAGAATTGTATATATATTTTTATATCTGCAGTGGCCAATCACCTACATTTGGGAAACCACGTGTCTTCTGATGTTACTTTAGCCTGGGGTGGCAGGTACAAAAAAGCCTCCAGAGTCCTTGCAATTCACTGACATTCTTATTTGTCTCCAGTGATTGGCACCATTTTGGAAATCTGGTCCCAAAGGTTCTAAATCACGGTAATACAGCTAAAAGAAACAACGTCTCTGTAGAAAATGATTATAGAGATGTGTGTTGAGGTAAAGAGCTTTGTAAAAACTGTTGAGTAGGGAAGCACAGCCACAGCTATAGAAACGTTTAAATAAGTTTGATGCTAAGATTATTCATCAAAACTCCTGTTTACACTAGTTATAAATAAAGGACAGTTCTTATTGCTCCTGCAGCTTGCTGCCCCAATCTGTTCCATCTCCACTGGAAAATGATTTTTTTTCTCAACGATTGGTAGCAAAGATTCCCAAATGTATAAAAAGTCATTGCTAATGCATTACTTTTTGATTAATTTCTGATTGCCATATAGCTAAGGACTACAGTATGCATATCCTTCACACCAAGTACAGAAAAAGCTTAGAAAAGTTGTTTTATCAAAGTTTAGTTCAATGAAAAAGTGCAAAATATATACAGTTCCTGGCAGTTCTCACACAGGATTTTTCTGACTACAGACCATAAAAGTTTACATTTGTGTCATGAAATTACAGTGGATTTAACTTCATTGTTAATATACAAGTTTTTGCTTCAAAGTGCTTGCTTTATTTAAAAAAGAAAAAATCAAGAGGGTCGCAGGAATTTTTTTTTTTACACAACAAATTTATGTGTCCCAATGCCCTTCTTCCTCTTCGTTTAGTGCAACCCAGTGCAGCAGCCTCACTGAAAGGTCTGATTTCCAAAGATGTTCCTGAAACCTCACCTACAGCAGCACTCTAGGGGTCCCATTGGGGGTGGCTCCTTTTTTCTTCTGCAGCTGGTTCTGAACCTTTCGCGATTTCACCACTTTCATTCTCACCTCAAAAACTTCATGGATGGCCTTCCGGAAGCAATGAAAATTATAGTCAATAAGCCCTGGAGAAGGAAACAAAAATACTTAGAAATGTCACATAGAAATAACATTCATCTTTTCACATTGGTGATAACGAGGATTAACCATAGGGGGGCAGTAGAGGAGCGGCCTTAACATAAGGTCCACAGACTGCCCTGGCGGGTCCGCAGCTGGCCCTCAGGAATTGTAGGCAAAGTCTTGTGATTGTATTTTCCCCCCTAAGAAAAGTTTCCAGAGTATATTTAACATATTTTCAAAGGTGTCTATGACCCAAAACATTTGAAGAACCAAGTGAACAACACATTTTTTTGACCTTTCAGAATTAAAGATTTTTTACAATAAAGATATCTTCAAAGAAGATATCTTTATTGTAAAGATATCCCCGAAAGGAGTTATTAAATTGACTCTGTGTGGAGGTAGACCCTGACGTGGAGTGTGGCTGAGATATCAAAGCCACAGTATCAATGGGGTAATCAATCAATATTTACTGGGTATATATTATATTTAAACCACTGTCATAAGCCCTGGGGAAGGCAGAGTCCCTGATTTTACAGTAGTAGCAGCCACCTCAGGTCAACTCAAGCTAAGGAATTCAACAACCAATGACACTCTCAGTTCTTCAGTATCATGTAAATTTTATCTTTTTAACTTTAGAGGACATTTATTAAAGCTGGGGACAGTGAAACAAGAAAGGTCTGGGGAAATGAGCTCAGGCTGGGCTGCTTTGACTAAGAAGTCAGAGAAAAGGGGGCCTTGGGAACAGGTTCAGGGGGTTTGTCTGGGACAAATTGCTGCTGCCTGCTGCTGCCCATTGCTGCCCTGGTTGCAAGCCTCTTGAGGGTCCCAACTTAAGAGTTTAGGAGATGCATGCCTGTGGGGGAAGGAGGAGGGGAGGCACGGGGTGCTCCTGGGAGGGAGAGCACGCCTCATGGAAGTTTTAAATGGAGAAATAGTAGGGGAAAATCTTGTGTTTTCTGAAAGCGATAGTACAAAATAGGATAAAAGATAATGCAAAGTCTTGAATGTATTTTCATCACCGCCACTAGTTTGTCGGTGTTGAGACCAACCTTATGTTCACACCAATTAGGATAGGCAGTTGGTTCTATTTACTGTCTTGAAACATTAAAACAACTAGCCCAGCCATTATTTCCATCCACTTAAGTGATCCTTCCAGAAACCCAAAGAAAGAATTGAGATTCTGGCCAAGGAGTGAAACTTCAAACTAGTCATACAACTGCAAGTGAACTGGAGGAAGCACCACCTCAGCTTCTAAGAGCAGGAAACCCTCTGAGCGGCGCCCTCTGCTGACTCTGCAGTGATAGTGACCCCAAAGCAGTGGGGGGGTGGGGAGGGGTGGAGAGAGACCAATGAAGCAGTAAGAAATAAGCAAGGAGCAAAGAAGTGATCTTATTTAGCGGGAATTTGTAAATGAGATGTGAGAACAACCTTACAATTCTCTGCCTACCATCCGTCAACCAACTGCCTTAGGGAGAAAGCTTAGCTCGACTGGCTCAATGAGAAGAGTGAATCAACCTGGAACATTTCAGAGACATCCTATTGATAGTTTTTGACAAATCTTAACTTACTAATCTTTGCACATTTTCTTTAAAAAATATATCTTTATTGATTTCAGAGAGAGGAAGGGAGAGGGAGAGAGAGATAGAAACATCAATGATGAGAGAGTCTTGATCAGCTGCCTTCTGCACGCCCCCGACTGGGGGTCAAGCCCGCAACCCGGGCATGTGCCCTGACCGGGAATCGAACCCCGATCTCCTGGATCCTAGGTCGATGCTCAGCTGCTGAGCCATGCTGGGCCGGGTATTTGCACATTTTAAATGTGCAAAATTTTAAAAACTGTAATCTTCCTGCATTTGGAGTTTTAAAAGTAAAATGGTATAAATTCACAACTGAGGTTTTTAAAGAAAGTAAACATTCATAAAAAGAGTTTGCTATTTATTTCAACCTTTTCATTAAAGGCAGTTGAAAATGCAAGAAGAGAGACATGAACAGAATAAGGACTATCTTCACCACCACACACAGTTACATGATGGTCCCACATCCTTCTCTGGTCCAGTGGTTCTCAGCCCTAGCTGCACATTAAAAACATCCAAGGAAGTTAAGAAAAAACAAACCCCAGGCCCCCCTCCCAGGAATTCTATTCTAATTATATGGAGGAGGACCCAGATGTCTGCAGCATTTTTTAACCACCTCCCATACCAAGGTGCGCCTAGGATGTGCAGCTAAGGCTGAGTCCTGCATCTGCTTTCAATTCTCTGCCTCTGCCAAAGCAATCACAGAGATCGCCAATGAAAACTCAGACGAAGACAAACGTGAAGAAAAGCTAATCACCAAGTGTTGATTATCAGCACCAACAGGACTCAACAACACAAGATTCAAGCAACAAAACAAATCAGACTACTCCATACATTTATACTCATAAGTTCTTTTTAAAGACAACTACCTAATAGGGTGACCAACTCATCTGGTCTGCGTGGGACATTCCCACTTTCAGCACTGGAGGTCTACTGTCCCATGAACCCTCTCTGTCCCAGACAAACGGAGGTGGTCGGTCACCCTAAAAAGCACCCAAGGTTAACACGATGAAGTTAAACCTAGTCTGCTTACTTATTTACATTTCCTAGTTATGACACTGACTAACTAGGTTTCTAGTTAGTTTAATAAATTCTACAAAATCTGCCTATCCTCGGCGATAATCCCACCTAGGTAATTTACCAAAAGATCCACATGATAAACTCCTGCTTAAATTTACTTCCATATCCACAGAGGAAGGTTAAAATTAGTGGGCAAGAGTGTGAGAAGGAACGGGATTTGTACAGTTTGAAAGCGAATATTAACTACAAAGGGATAGATAGGGACTTTCCAGTGGAAAAACTAGCAGACACTACCTTAGCTAAATCCACATCAGCGTCAACAGCAGTAAGACATACAAACATCATTAAACACTTGATTTGATGCACTGAGAAGGACATGTCATTTCTGTGTGGTGTTCTTGCCAAAGTGCATAAGCTCATTCCACCTGTGTGAACACATCGGACAAACCCAATTTGAGGGACACTCTACAAAAGGTCAGTACTCTTCAAAAGTGTCAAGGCCATGAAAGATGAAGAACTCTCACACATTGGAGGAGACCAAGAGATATAACAACTAAATCAATTTGGGATCCTGAAACAGAAAACAGGTATTTTTGGGAAAACTGGTAAAATTTGCATAAGGCCTATTGTTTCATTGATAGCATTATACCGATGTTAATTCCCTAGTTTTGGTAACTGTGCTATAGTATGCAGGTTAACATTTAGGGAAGCCAGATGAGGAGTATATGTAAACTATGTACTGTTTTTGCAAGTTTTATGTTAAGTCTAAAATCAGGTCAAAATAAATAAACTCTACAGTTTAATAAATTACAATTTAATATGATTTTGGGACCTGCCACCATCCTAGATAGTTTGGGGGCTGTAGCTGTACTATTTGCATTACTTTTATTTTTCTTAGCTTCCAAAATCAACATGAAATATTAATCATCAACTATAAATTCTAGAAATATCTTTAACCAAGGAAATATACATATCATAGTTTAAAACACAATATACACAATTGATTCCACATAGGGAGAAGTCCAGGAATCTTTAGCCCTGACTGTCACACACTGGTGGTGTGACCTTGTATTGGGAGAAAGTTACATGTATGTCCTGGGTCTGGGTAAAATCATCTGTAATTGAGAGAGTGAAACAAAGTATGGTCCTGTCTATCTCCAAAATTCCATGAATTTTTTATATAATCTGTTCTTACTTTCAGCAGGATGAAAATAAGAAGTAAAAGATTAATACCATTTAATTAAAAATTTTGCAGGCCAAGGACATAAGAGGCAATTTGATTGGCAATAGTAATAAATATGGGAAAAATACATACACAACTTCACTAAGAAAATGTAAATTTAAATGTTATACCAGTTTTCTTTTTTTATTAATCCTCACCGAGGACATGCTTAGAGAGAGGAAAG